GCATACTGCAAGCGAGAGGGAGAGAGATAGCGAGAGAAACGCCCCTCGCCATACGCTTTGTTGCGCCTTTTGTTAGGCTTTGGCCGAATAACCGAAGCAAAAACCAAAATTAGCAGCCGCAGCAGCAGCAAAAAAAAAAAAAAAAAAAAAAGGAAAATAAAAATACACTTACAAAAAACGTGTAAGAAAGTAAGAAAAGGCGCAGGCAAAATAGCCGGGAAAATTACAGACACAGAGAGAGAGAGAGAGAGAGAGAGAGAGAGGGCAAATCAACAACTACTTCGAAAGTCTAGACCTTGGCCAACTGAAGAACTTGGTCCTAAGAATCAAAGAGGGAAAAAATAGAAAAGCTACGCAAAGACATTTTGACCTTTGCAAACATTTGCAGAACCTTAACAAAAAAGAGTTAACTTGTCTAATATAAGCAAGTCTTAGTGCTTAACACAAATATTTAGTTGTCTTTCTGCATCGAAACTCAAAGGGAATGAAGAATAGCAATTAAGGATTGATATACTTATACAGTGGTTCTCATATTTATAACCCATCCAGAAGCTTAAGCTTTCAAACAATTTTAACAAAATTTTTATAATTTAAAAAAAAAAAATTTTACTGTATTTTATTGACAGAAGCAGTTCAATAGAATTTACCGCAAATTGTGTTCCATTCAAAGAAAACTAAGAAAGAGCCGTTTACTTTGGCTGTTTGCTCGCATATTTGTTTGCATTTTTGTGTATCATAATTAAAGCCCACAACAAATTTGACTTTATGAAGTGCGGACGGAGCAAGCTTTTGGATTTACAAACATTGTAATTAAGTAAATTTCGATAATTTTTCAGAAACGCCACTTGGAAAATAATTATCTGATTATGAAAAGGGCCGCATTTTTTCACTTTTCCAGTCCGGAGAGTCTATTTCGAGTAGTTCACTAAACTTGCACAGTTAGGAAAGAGCTTGCAAAAGTATATACTAACTATCTTATCATAATACTAATAATATTATAGAAATACATTTTTTGTAAGATATGTGTATTTTGAGGAAATTACAGATGATTTCCGTAATTAGTTCCAAGATTATTATGAAAGTAAAAACGTTCTCTACTTCTATTATCTGAATATCTTATATGAATATTGAAATATTCAGTATTTTATCTTTGATGAAAAGAAAGTATTTGGTATTTCATAAAAGAATATAAAGGCTTTGATTGAATTTAATATACCTATAAGTATATAGAGTATGTATGTATATAGAGTATGTAGAGCTCAAAGGCTTTCAGCTTACGCAGTTTATAAATTTGTTTATCTTTGTTAAGGTCTCGCTTGTCTGCTTGAATTGTATAATGATGGAGCCACCCTCGCCACACACACACACACACACACACACACACACACACACACACACAAACAATGTGTTAGACGATGAGAGGAGTACAAAAAAAGCCAAACAAGAGCTGGAGAAAGGTGAAGAGGCGGCGCTTGTCAGATAGGTAGAGTGGAGTCGAGTCGAGTAGAGTGGAGTAGAGTGGAGTAGAGTGGAGTGCCGCCCCAGAATGTCATACAAATGACCCATATTAAATTTATTACGGCACTGGGAGCAGCACAATGAAATTCAATAGCTGAAAACCTAATGGCAAACAAAACAAATCGCCGACGCCTACGACTACGTATATATATATATATGTACATATATATGCATATATATGTAGCTACATACATTATATTGTCGTACATAGATTGAGAGAGAGAGAGAGAGAGAGAGAGAGAGAGAGAGAGTGGGAGAGCTGAGAGTTGGGGGCAACTGTATCAAAAGCAGCTTAAAGGCGCCCCTGTATGTGTGTGTGGGTGGGGGTGGGTACAACTTTTTGCATTGGTTGTCGTTATGCTGTCATCATGGCAGCTTTACCAAATTGATTTATAATCCTGTCTCGAATGTCCTTAGAAGCAGCTGAAGTACCAGCCGAAGCCCAAGTAGCAGCAGAAGAGCACGAGGAAGAGGAAGAGCAGAAGAAAATGAGCAAGTCGAAGTTGAAGCTGTAGAAGTTGTCAACGCGTCGCTTTCTAAAAATCGAGACGAGTTGCTTCGCTTTTGTTTTTCTTATTCTCACTTTTTCATCTTCTTCTTCTGTTTGTTTCGAATTTTGTAATGAAATTTTTTGCCAATTATTTTGCAATTAAATTGCGTAACAATTAATGGACGCAATACAGGTTGTTGTTGTTGCTGTTGTTGTTGTGCTTGCTTTTGTTTTTGCCCTGTTTACTTACCTCAGCAGCACGTGCTGCGGCCCCATTATCCGGCAGCTAATTAAGAAACGTGAGACAAATGACAAGCGCTCAAATATTGTTGGCTCAGAGCTTAACGGACGGAACAAACGCGACAGCAGCAAACTAGATACAGATGTAACAATAAATCCATATGAATAGATGGATAGATCGACAGTTTGAATGATAGACTGTCAGATATGCTATAAAAGGTTAACTGCGTTAGTGTGTTCCATTTACTTTATCAAAGTACTTAGATTAAAATTGACTGAGTTGAGGGTTTGACAGCACATCAAATATCTATTTTTAATTCAAGAGGGTATTTACTACTAATCTCAAAGTTGAGTTTGATGTTCTATGCTATTTAGTAATTCGCCAAGTCAAGCCAAAGTTCGATCGACCTTCAGTTGGTCTATATTTGAATATTGATCAAGCAATCTAAGAGTTAACTTAATTTCTCTTATGGCTTATGCATTAATACACTTTGGAAATTTCCTGGTAAGCTTATATGAATCCTATGCTTTTCCTTAATTATAGTTAAGCCGATGTAGAGACATGTATTAAAACAAGCAGAAGTTAATAAGGGAGGTTCCAACAAAAAAAAAAAAAAATCTGTAAAATTTTTTGGAACAAAATGGCAATAGACAAAAAGTGGGCTTTATTATTAACTTCTACTTCCTTTGATAGATCCCACCCGAATTTGAGATATCCTTTAATTCCTTGTGTTCTGTAGGTCTCTGTTTAGATATATATTTTATATTTTAGTTGCTAATTAGTCGACCTTAAAATAAACTTTAACCTATTTTTTGTCACAATCTCTCAATGCAATTCATTTTCGCAATCTTTCTTCGGCAATTCGACTTGAGGATACCATTAATTTATTAAAATATTCTATAATAAATATTCATAGTAATGCCAATTAAAAGTTCATTAATTATTTCACGTATGTAACATCCTTACTAATTCTGTTTTAATACTTAAAATTCTAATTACACAAGCTACTCGACTTGAAGATATCCTAACATTATACAAAAATCAAAAGTAAAATATTATTTAAAATATACAACTATTCCTTTTTAGTATTATATACTCAATATATTTTATATACTATATATATATATACATATTTAAATATTAATTTCCTCTACTGTTAGATACCTTTTATAGCATTTCCAATTGCTCCAATATTTTGCATTTGATAAGCTTTCTTAGTGTTGGTTGTTGGTTGTCCTGCTAAACTACTCATTTATTTCCTGTGTATAGGGCATCTGTCCAATGAAACTCGTAAATATGTCGAACATAAATAAATAAAAGATTTTTATGTATGTGTCTGCACAAGAGAGAATCGACTTAAGACAACGCCAGAAATTTATTAATTATCAGCTGGACTTTAGTGTCGACCTAGATGCTACCCACACACGCACAGCCACACACACTCAGCCACAATTCTACACACCCACACAAGTCTATTTCAATATAGATGTACAGAGAATTTTGCAATCAGAGCCGCTTGATTGGCATTTAAAGCTCTTTAGGAAATCTGTGTGGCCGTTGAAGGAGCCACGCTCTCTGCTCGGCTCGGCTCGGCTCGCCTCATCTCGTCTGGCTGACAGCAAAAATCGAAGTCTGGTGGCTACATTGAGCCACAGCTGAGCTCCTTAACGCTGCTTCACAGTCTGACATAATCCATGCAATTGTAAATTTAATAAGAGCAAAAGAGAGAGGGAGAGCTGGATAGATGGATAGATGGAGCGAGAGAGAAAACGTTCAGAGCAGCTTTCTGGACAGCTCAACAGCTGAGATTTGTGCAGGACGAGAAGAATGAGCTGGAGAGGCAGCAGCAGATGAAAAGGCAACCAAAGTGAAACGGAAAAGCAAGTAGTCAAGGCAATTAAGCACACAGAAAAGCGCAGTGAAATCTTAAGTAGCTACACACACACACATTCACATATCCATACACACACACACACACATCTATTTATATAAGAAATGAAAGCTTTCAAGTGGCGATAGTTTGTACTACGCCTACAAATGAAGGTCAGAAGCTAAAGTTTCTTTTTTGGGGCCCAAAACTTATTGTGGCAACTGTATCGATGCCAACAGCCCAGTGTTGACCCCACATCAGAAATGAAATAGAAATTAGATTTTAGACAAACTTTTGCCCAAATAATTATCGACGGATTAAAGAACTTTTCAATCAATAAGTTTTCAAATAGCTCTTAACGATATGTAAATATAGTAAACATAATTTGAGTACAAAGTTTAGTTTAGTATAGTGCTAATGCTGATTATCATTATACCCTGTAACGATATAGTGTATCATCAAAAGAAAATTCATATTATTAAGAATAATAATATATAAGATTAAATATTTTAAAAAATACCATAGTATAGGGTATGTATAACACAAATGAAAATGAATTCCATTTAACAAAGGGAGGGTGATCCAAAGGGAAGTTGATATATATGTATGTATGCATGTATTCAATGTATTCGATGTATTGAATATATTCTATATATACCTAGATAACTAACTAGGTATTCTAGGATACATCTATAGGGTATATATACATATATATAGCTCTCCTTAGTTTATATTGTGTTAAATGTATATATTCCAAGTATTTTATGTATTCTAGGTATTCTACATATTCTATATGTATTCTACACATTCTCTATATTTATATATCATCTCTCTGGGTGTGCCATGAAATCCAAGTGTCAAATGCCAAAGTAAACTTTGCTACCATAACTGTTATAATATCATATAAGGAACTACATAGTTCTAGAGAGCACTCATACGTCAATAATTCTCATTTCAAATACAGGAAGAAACAAAATAACACATTATTGAAATTTTTCAAGTTTCTAAAGACAATTATTAATTCGGAAAGAATCGAGCCTGGAACTCAAACTTAAATCATGTCTACAGATGAGTTAAATTATGTTTGCGAAAAGTTGGGTAGCTTTCAGTGCATGGACAATCAGCTGGAATCGGCCAGAGAATACGCTCACTGGCTGCTCTCCAACATGGAGCTGAGCTGGCGGGGCCGCCTGATACCCGGATTGCTGGGATATTTGCGTGAGCCGGGACCGCACCGTTCGCCGCGCCAATGCGTGAAGGCGCTGCGAGTGCTGCACGAGTTGACGACGCACTGCACCAAGGTCGATCTGAAGCGTCTGGTTCTGACTACCGATTTGCTCCCGCTAATGCGCGAAATGTTGCAGATGCACAGATTGCGTGGCACCATCAAAAGCTGCTGCCTGGCGCTGTTGAGCAACATCCTCGTCTCCGGCTGGCGCATGCGGGACGCTGTCGTGGAGTCGGGTCTGCTCGCCGAGCTGCTGCAGATACTGACGCATCGACGGCGGGGCCAGCAGCCGGTGCAGCAATGCTACAAGGGTCAGGTGCTCTGGCTGCTCTATCAGGTGTTGCGCTACAAGGTGCCGGGACCCGCACTGACGGCCATACAGAAGATTGCCGTGGCGCTGCCCGCACTGCTGCATCACTCACAGGACGTGGAGCTGCTGGTGCCGGCGCTGCAGATGGCCCGCCTCATCTCCGAGTACCACTCGACCATGCTGCCAGCCATGGTCGAAACGAAGCTGTTGAGTCGCGTCGTCCGATTTGTGCTCAGTCCTTTGCCAGAGATTCAGCGTGAGGCGCTCTTTGTGGTGGCCAATGTGTGCCTGGAGTACCGGCGACGCCAGTCACTGTTTCGTTTTCCCAAGAGCATCCTGCTGCATGTTCACGGCCTGGTGCTGGGTGGGAGGCCAGAGATACGTGTGCTGGTGCTGCAGCTGATGGGCGGCATTATCGACAACAGGTGCATCAAGCTGGAGCATTTCGTCGAGCTGGGCTTGCTCAAGAAGATCGTTTACTGCGCCAGCAAGCAGGAAAAGGATGCTGCAGTGCGTCTGGCCGCCGGCTGGACTCTGGTCAGTCTCGCTTTGCATCTGTGCCGCTGCTACTTGGATTATTTTATCGACTGCGGCGCGCTGCATGCCATCTGTGAGCTGCTGCACCTGGAGCTGCCTGTGCAGCTGCTGCGCAACATACTCGTCGTGCTCTTTCTGCTGGGCGAGAAGCATTGCTACAGCAAACAGTGTCTGCTGTACGTCATGTGGCAGTGCAACATTTGGCCACAGATCCAATCGCTGCAGGGCAGCAACAATGCTGCCGTTAGAACGCTCTGCACGCTTCTCACCTCGCGTCATGCCATGGAGTTGATTTGGCCCGAGGCGCGCATCTATATGAGAATGTAATTTTATGCAAAATGTAATGAACCTTTATACTTGCGGCATATCAATTTAGTTAATTTGTATCGCTCCTCCGTCACTCAAAAGCAAAACCGATCAGTAAGGCAGCAGCGAGCAAACTTAGTAAGGAAATTTACTAACAACAGCTGCTCTAAGCAGGCACAGCAAAACAGGAGCAGCAGTAACGAAATTAATTTGCTCTCTCACAGAGCTCTCAACTTACATAGAAAGAATGCTGAAGTAAAATAACGGAAGACGAGTTACCCCTCCCGCTCACTAACACAGCACGCTCATTTCTTAAGCCGAATTGTACCTGCAGCCTGCCCACAAACAACAAAGCTCAGTCTGTAATGTAGAAAGAATGCGCAACGAAAGTAACGGCATCACCATTACCCCTACTGCTCACTTAATCGTGCTGCTCGCTCACTGAAAGCTAAATGCCTCAATACTGCTCAATTATAGCTGCAGACTGTTCACAACTAATAAAATCTCCACGCTTCGAAAAGCTCTCTGCTAAGCTCTGCTTAATGGAGCTTATACACACATACAGCCACAACTATATTCGTATACATATGTGTGTACTATTGCGCAGTTGTCTACTTTTAATTTCATTTTAAATATTATAGCTCTGCTGTTCAGTTTGGCTTATTTGGTAAATAACTATAAAAGAGCAGTTATATTCGTATGGTGTCAAAAATTAAATTGAGCGCCACAAAAAGTATTTATTTGTGTCTGAATGGGGGGAACTTTATTTATTTGCTGACTATGACTACTAATTTACTCTTAGAAAAACACCAGCTAATTGCATTAAATTTGAATTTATTAATTTCTTATTTTTAAAACTATTTAACTTATGCAGACCAAATGTTATTTAGTTTTGGTTTTCGCGAATTAGCGCTCACAATAAAACATGTACATATCAGAGAGTATTCCCACGCTCACATTATCTGTGCTACTCACTCACATTTGCTCATGTTCTCTCAGCAGCGAGATTCCTCACACTATTAAGCATTATAAGGGGAAGTGTCATTTCATTACTGACGGCTTACATTTGCGCTCTCATCAGTGCAGCAAATGCTGTGTTTAGCTTACATTCCACAACGATGTACGTGCTTCACTTATAATCCAAGCGTTCTCTATTCCATTTGCACGCTCATTTGCGAATTCTATTTATGTATGTATGTACATATGTGTTTCTCCTTTTACTTTTTCATAACAGGGACTGCTTAAAACTGCAAAACTGTGTGTATATTAAGTTCCATAAGACTAAGCTGGTTTTACAGAAGCTATTATCACTTTGAAGTTTAATATGTAGCCAAACCACAATTCAATCTTTAATGAAAACTTTAAAATATAGAATTTTGGTGTCAAGAGAATATATTTAAATATTTTAAAGTCAAATTCTATGCTATGAAAATTACATGGTATAAAAAATCTTTTGAAATATTTGAAACTCGAATTATTTTTTGTTTTTTTTTTCAATATCTATTTGGCTGTTCTGTATGTGCTATAGAATTCAATGTGATTATTTAACATGCTAATTGAAAGAAATGGAAATCTATGCAAAATGCATATTTTATTTATGAATTTGAAAAATGTTGTTTCAGTTCCAACGATAAAAGTTTGTTGCAGCGATTTTCAATTTGTTTTCCTTTTTTTTTTTTATTATTATTCGCATTAAACTTTGTAAAAAGTTTTGCGGTAAATATACATACATATATGCATGTGTGTGTGGAAGTTTATGCTAAGTGTTTGTATGTATATATTGTATGTGTGTGCGTGTGTGTTGAGTTTACATTTGGCAAACTAATTGTATGTGAATATGTCAGATGTGTGTCGTCAACACCTGCATGCATAAGTGTGTGCGTGAGGATTGAGTGTGCGGTATATGTGTGGTCGTGTGTGTGTGTGTGTGCGCCCATGTATTTGTATTGCATATTGACAATTTCATAAATGCGGTAACATTTTCAATTAAATATGCGCAACGCCGCAAACACACAGCTGCACGCGTACACACACACACACACACACACACGCCCACAAGCATCAGACTGTGCATTGCCCCAGTCCATCAATCTACGTTAAGTCGATTGATATGTATACACACATACACATACCCACTCACACACATGCATTCGTGTGCAGGTGTGCAGCTTTTTGGTCGGTTACAAATTGCAAATCAATCAATAAATAATTGAAATGAAAATCATTTTGCTGGTTTCAACTTATCTTCCAATGCCGCTACGTCTCCCGTTGCGCCTCCTTTATGCTCTCACATCCCCTTCCGCATCTCACTCTCTCTCTCTCTCTCTTTCTTCCTGCCTCGCTGCCTCTGCCGCTGCCTGCGCCTCTGCTACTGCTTTACGCTACGCTTTAGTTGCGTATGCAAATGGGCAAAATTGTGTACATCTATCACTCGATTCGGATCGAAATCAGAATCGAAATCGGCAGACAGACCAACACACTCAAACGCAAACGCCACACATGTGAAATTGTTGCAAGAGAGCAGAGAGTGAGAGAGCGAGAAAGAGAGAGAGAGAGAGAGAGAGAGAGAGCAGCGGGCAGCAACCAAAAATTTCAACTCATGAATGCGTTTGCAGGTGTACGGGATTAGTGATGAGACAACTGATGTATGAATGGATATACAGACACCTGCACATACATATATTCATACATATAAGCACACATGTATATGCTAGTGTGTAGGTGTGTGTGTGTATTATCCGAAACTTTTAAAGGTGATTTGTTAGGGCAAGTGATATTCTCTAAACTGTGATTAGTTTACACACACACAGACGCGAGAGAGAAAGAGAGAGGGAGTAAGAAAGCTCTTTGTGTGCAATTGCTAAAGATTCCAAATAAATCTATGCGATTTTTTTCTGATTGGAAAAAAGCGAAGGAATTTTTATTGAAGCTTTTATAGTTGGGAAACAGAATCAAACGCGAACTGTGAAAGTTTTTATAGGAGATTAAGTTTTAAATATAGAAAAACATGCGCGCACAAAATAGATTAAATATTTAATATAAGGCAATTGGAATTATAATAGTTCTAATCAATAATTGAAAGTAAAGAAGATTCATTTAATTTTGGGAGTGGGACTTTTTTAAATTCTTCTATTACATTTATTTTTAATTTTCTAATTTTTTGTGTGAAATTATACATATAATTTTTATTTTTTTATTTATATATTATTTATGTTAGGTATTTTATTTTATATATTAAAATTTTTTTTTTTTTTAATTTTAATTTTTACCTTTAATTACATATTTTGTATTTGAAATGCTTGTCAATGCTCTATTTACTATATTTATTACTACATTTATTCTATTTAAGTTAATTCTATATTTTTTTCATTATTTGTTCCTCTTAGCTTAAAAAAAATCTTATTTAAAAACTAAAGGAAAATCTGTTTAGCTTTTTATGACATCACTTCACATTTTGATGCCAATCACTGAAGCATCTCTAATGCTGCTGCATTGCTTGTGCGTGTGTGTGTGCGCATGTGAGAGTGTGTGCATGTGTGTACGGTTTTGATATTATGTTAAATTACCAATTTCACAAATCAATTTGGCACTTTTTCAATAATGCACGCGCGACCGACGAGATGTTTGCCATTTTTAAATTGAAAAATTCGATGAAAAGGAATGGAAAGAAAAAAAAAAAAAAAGAAAAGAAAAATGAAAATGAGAAACGCTTAGACAGCAGCAAGCACACGCTCGAGCTGCAACTGTGTCTTCGCCTCTCAGCTCCTATATATATCTAGATATATGTATATATATATGTATTGTTAGAGCCGCGGGTTAAATTTAATTTCAAAGTTCGCTTTTGTTTTTGGCCGTGCTTCGTTTTTGTCGTTATGGCCCAAAATCCCGCACAAATCCTTTGAGCTAGCACACGAACAGCTGCTGAGGACGCGGCGGGCCAGGACTCTAAAGCAAGGACTTTTCTCGTTGCTCTTGTTGTTGTTATTGCTTTTGTTGTTGTTGTTTTTGTTGTTGTTGTTGTTAAGCGGCGCTGCTTTGGTTGCAGATTTACGCACCAGCAAATCGTTGAATTTATTTGGATGAGGTTGTTGGTGAGGGGGGTGGGGGCACAGTTTGGACCGTGCCCTAGAATTGGGGTGGCAGAGGCGGGGGCGTGGCGACAGTTTCAATTTTGTCGTTGCATCGCGAGGCGTGCCAAAAACCCAAAACCGTAACCGAACCCAAAAACTGCAGTCCAAAACCCCAACAGGAGAGGGTCGGGGGTCTGCCCACTTCAACTGCCACGCCCACACTTTTGCAGGGCAGACTGATCTTGATTGCATTTGCCAGATGCCAACACCAAACTTGCAGACACACAAACACACACACACACACGCACACATATCCGTCAACTGGGTGACAATCTAATCAAGCCAAGCGGACAGCGCGCACGCGTGTGCGTGTGGGTGTGTGTGTGTGGGTGTGCGGTGGAGGCGTGACTAGGCACACACGATTTAAAGCTGGGCAACCATTTGGGGCTCACTGCAGTCGAGCCTGCTTTGTGCATCACAAAGAACAACAACAAAATGCTGAAAACAAAAACGGAAGTGTCAGCAACTTTTGAATAATTTACAAAAAAAAGAATAAAAACAAGTAAGAACGTTGCAGTCGGGCGTTACCGACTGCGGAATACTCATTCACATCCCATCAACAATTTAGTAGTTAAGTTTCGCTCTAATACTGTAGAATATACAGGTTTTTCCGATTTGCCACGCCCCAACTGGGCGTAGACACCTCATTTTTGGTCAGTTTTTAGAAAGAAATAACGGTACCCTAACTGCAAAGTTTGAATGCTTACCCTCAAAAAATGTGAAAATTACAGGGTATTTTTCGATATGCCACGCCCCTAAAGAGGCGTAAAAATTATTTTTGGGGAACCGATAGAGGAGGCTACCAGTAACTCAACTATCCAAAATTGAAGCTTCTAGCTATTATACTTTAGGAGATATAAACTTTTGCGGTTTGCCACGCCCCCTGTGGGCGGACATATATCCGACAAAACTTTTTGGTCTTGGGTGATCAGTCCGAGTATATATACAAAATGTGAGGTCTCTGCCATCAATAGTGTCCAAAATATAGGATAATTTAAAAAATCACTATATCTTCAGGTCCGATTTGCCACGCCCCCAATGGGCGTAGACTTATAATTTATCTTCAGGCTTTATAGAATCATACCATTAGCTGACATGCAAAATTTCAGCATTCTAGGTTAACAACTTTAGGAGATACAGTTTTATCCGATTTGCCACGCCCCCAATGGGCGTAGATATATCCGCCATAGCTCGTGATCTTGAGTGGTCAACGCGGACCTACATACCAAATTTCAGCTTTCTAGCTCTTCAACAAACATGATTTCTGGTATATCGGAAAATGCATTTTCCGATTTGCCACGCCCCTAGTGGGCGGATCGGGAAAATTTTAACACTTTATAAATCGGAGATATACACGAGTATGTGTTCCAAATTTCAAGTCTCTAACTTCAATAGCGCCGAAATAGATTGCGTTCATACGGACAGACGGACAGACGGACAGACGGACGGACGGACAGACGGACAGACGGACGGACAGCAAGACGGACATTGCACAAAACCAATATACTGATTCACTTTCGTGAATGAGTATAAAAAACAAGTAAGTATAAAAAGCCTGACGTGCAAATACCCTGTAGCACAATTAGACAAATAGATACCCTACAGA